GATTCTCTCATCACTGATGTTTCTATCTCTCTCTCCTTTTCCCTTCCTGTCTGAAGTCAATAAAAATATTTTTTTAACAAAAAAAATAATTAGAATCAAATGACTTTAAAAAAATTTAGAGGCACCAATTCCATGGCTTAGAGATGGGGCTGCAGCTTCTGAGGAAGCCCTACCCTCAGTGCAATGATCCCAGAGCCCCTAGAGCAGAGATGGAGACCCCAGCCCACAGGCCGTAGAGAGCCCCCCTAGAGCAGAGATGGAGACCCCAGCCCACAGGCTGTAGAGGGCCCCCCTGAAGCATTGGGTCTGGCCCTGCCAAGGCATTAGGGGTGAGTTAATTAAATGTTTGACCAAATATAAAGGCTAGGTTTTCTTGTAGTTGTTCATCCTCACCCAAGGATATTTTTCCATTGATTTTCAGAGAGTGGAAGGCAGGGAGAGAAACAGAGAAGAACATGGATGTGAGAGAGACACATGGTTTGGTTGCCTCCCGCAGGTGCCAGACCAGGGCCAGGATCGAGCCTGCCACCAAGGTACGTGCCATTGAACAGAATCGAACCTGGGGTCCTTCAGTACACGGGCCGACACTCTACCACTGACCCAACCGGCTAGGGCAGCAGGCTGATTTTTAAGTTGATAATTTTGTATGGCCAGCGAATGATGTTATAAATATCCAAGTGGCCCTTGGCAGAAAAAAGGTTTCCACCCCTGCTCTGGGGGATCTTCAGCACCCTACCTCACCTGTTTACCCTAGTAGTCCAATAACCTGTGACTTTAATCTTTTCTGATTCTGCCACTCCTAGCTGAGCAACCTTGAGCAAGTGACTCAGCCTGTGCCTCAGTTTTCTCATTTGAGAAATGGGTAGAGTACCTACTTCATAAGGCTGATGTACATGTAAAACAGGACTCAAGCCCTGGCCAGTGTTTGCAGTGGTTAGAGGGTCAGCCCACACACTGAAGGGTTGCAGGTTCATTCCCTGGCCCCGTCCAGGCACATGCAGGTGGCAACCAATTAATATGTCTCTCTCACATCTCTCTCTCTCTCTCTCTCTCTCTCTCTCTCTCTCTCTCTCCCACACACACCCCTCCCTCCCTTCTACTCTCTCTTAAAAAAAATTAATGGAAAAATATCCTAGGGTGAGGATTAACAACAACAAAAAAGAATAAAACAGGGCTCAAGGCAAGTACTCCATCACTTTCATCATCATGGTTATATCCTCTCTTATTCTCTTACTAGAGGCCCGGTGCACAAAACTTTGTGCACTCGGGGGGGTCCCTCAGGTCGGCCTGTGCCCTCTCGCAGTCTGGGACCCCTCGGGGGATGTCCACCTGCTGGCTTAGGCCCACTCCCCGGGGGGATCGAGCCTAAGCTGGCAATCAGACATCCCTATGGCAGCCCAGGAGCCCTCAGGGGATGTCCACTTGCCAGCAGGGAGCAGGCTGAAGCTGCAGTCGGACATCCTTAGCGCTGCTGAGGAGGCAGGAGAGGCTCCCGCCACCACTGCTGTGCTGGCAGCCATCAGCCTGGCTTGTGGCTGAGCAGAGCTCCCCCTGTGGGAGCACACTGACCACCAGGGGCAGCTCCTGCATTGAGCATCTGCCCCCTGGTGGTCAGTGTGTGTCATAGTGACCAGTCATTCCCAGTCGTTCTGCTGTTAGGGTCAATTTGCATATTACCCTTTTATTATATAGGATAGAGGCCTGGTGCACGAGTGGGGGCCGGCTGGTTTGCCCTGAAGGGTGTTCTGGATCAGGGTGGGGGTCATGCTAGGGTGCCTGGCCAGCCTGGATGAGGGGCTGATGGCTGCTTGCAGGCTAGCCAAGCCCCCCAGCGGGAACCCTCACCCCATGGAGGTGTGGCCAGCTTGGGTGAGGGGCTGAGGGCCGTTTTCAGGCTGCCCACAGCCCCTTCAGGATGGAGGTCCCCGCTGGGGTGCCTAGCCAGCCTAGGTGAGGGGCTGATGGCCATTTTCAGGCTGGCCATGCCCCCCAGCGACCCAAGCTCCCAGCCTCTCCTCTTTTTCTTTTTTTCTGAGATTTATTATCTTCTATAATTGAAACTTTGTAGCCTTGAGAGGAGTGGAGGCCAGGGCAGGCAGAAAGCTTGGCTTCCTCCATCGCCAGGGGCAACCCAAGCCTCCTGCTTGCTCCAGCTCCATGGCCCCTGCCATCTTAGTTGGGTTAATTGGCATACTCTCTCCTGATCGGCTGGTGGGCGTGGCTTGTGGGCATGGCTTGAGTGTAGCAGAGGGATGGTTAATTTGCATGTTTCTATTTTATTATATAGGAGGATTTCCCATTTTCTACAGTCCAAGAGCAACGATGGGATTCTATTGCGCCCTCCTGTGGCAGTACCCAGTACTGCATCCCTCCAGGCGCAACTCATTACATCACTCCAGGTTGGAAGGTTAAGTTAAAAAAAAAAAAATTAAGTCAGTCCAAACTGATTTAAGTCCAAAGAAAACCTACTGGCCAGTTGCCTTTGAACTTGCTGTGCCCTCACCCTTTCTCCTTTCTCTCTTCCCTCCCCCATCTCCTTCCTGACATTCAAACCCCAATGTCAATGCCACACAGGGAGCCTTTCCATGTTCTCTATTCATTCAATACTGAGCACCAACTGTGTGCTAGGCCCTGTCTTAGGTACTAGGGATGCCGCTGTGGACCACACAGGTGAAGACTTCTTCCCTCAAAGCTGCCATTCCGGGGAGGGAAACAGAGAATCTACAAACATAGTGTTCCACAGAGCATGTCAGGTGGTGGTTCATGCTAAGATTAAAGTAAACCAGGGAATGAAAGAGAAGGCTTGTGGGGTGCCATCTTAAAGTGTGGGATGGGTGGGATGTTTGAGTTGAGACTTGAAGAATGAGATCGAGTAGGCCGTGGGGATATCAGAGGGAAGAGCATTCCAAACAGAGGGAACAGCAAGCACAAACGCCCTGAGGCAGACCCTTGACCTTGAGGGGGTGAGGGGTAGGGGATGGAGGGTGTTATTGTTCTTGGCTGTGACCCCAGTACCTAAACCAGAGTGTTCAATAAAGATTGCATGAGTGAAAGCCCAGCTATGGGTGAAATGATGCCCTCGGGACTATTAACCTCCTCCACCTGGTGGCTTCATTCCTTCAAGAGGTTGTCTTAAGAGGAGAACAGCTTCAAATGCTACTCAAGATCCAAAAGTCTGTTTCCCCGGATTCCCTGCAAAAGTCCTACCTGCCCATCCCCCAATCAGTAGTGAGCCCAAGGCTGGAAGGTATCGGTGGTTTAGCGCTACGTCTCACGCCCCACCCAGACCATATCCAGAGGGGCGAGGGAGAGCCCAAGGGACCTCTGGGACTGTGGCATGGGGGGAAGGCCAGTTAAGAAGAGGTTCCCCGTTGTGGCAAAGTGTGGAACTCCCAGCTCGAAGCATCTCTGAAATTCCTAGAGCTGCAGTGGCCACCCCATCACCCGGCTGAAGGGCAGATAATGCAAAGGCAGCCACCTCTGGATGGAGAAAAAGGTCCGCGGAAGGCAGCTCAGGGCAGGCTCCCAGTGGTCCCTGGGTAATGGAGGGCCCTCTGGCCACGGCCAGAGCTGTTCCTCTTGGGGGCTCAAGAAGCCCCAGGAGCAGTGGGTAGAGAACACCCTGGCCCTCTAGGCTGGCCTGGGATGATGATGGGGTGCAGGAGGAGCTCCAGGAGACTGGTATTTGTGTGGTGCCGGCTGTATGCATGAGCCCTGACCTGTCATTCCAAGTTCAGGACAAACAAAACAGATGTTTACTGATTGAACCCCACCCCAGCGGCCCTTTAAAGGCACCACTACCACCATGGACGAGGCAACAGACTCAGAGAAGGCCAAGGGCAAGGCCAGGCTCTGCCTAGCTCCCAAGGGGCCAGGCCTGGGAAATGCCTGGAACTGTGAACTCTGGGCGTCACCCCCTTCTCCCCTCCTGGAGTACCAGCTCCTGGCAAGGCACCTGGAAGCCCGTGGGGCAACTGGCCATGAAGGTTCCTTTCTCACCCCTTCCAACTGTCCAGGTCACCCCCATTCACGCATTAGCTCCACCTCTTTTTAGTACTGACCCAGGGTTTCCCCCCTCTGCCCTCTCCCCCAGCTTTCACCCAACACCCCTCCCCCATCTTTCACTCTCTCCCTCTCTGTCCTCAATGTCTTCTTCCGAAAAATGGGACGAGCCTGGCCCCGAGCAGGTCCCACCCCAGAGGGAACTCAGAGAGGGCAGGGAAAACTGAGGTGGACTCAGCCGCCCTGGGCACAGCGCCTGGCACACGGAGGCGCCCAGTGAGTGCTAGTCTGAAGGACCAGCTCTCAATAAATAACAGCTGTTGTCGATGCTGTGGATGCTGGCCGGGCCGCGGCTCTCCCCTCCCCCACCGGCCACCCCTCCTCCCCTTTCTTTCGCACCCCATTCCTTCCCCTCACCCCGACCCGACCGGCCTCCTCCTCCTCCAAGCCCGCCCCTCCTCCCCCATTTCCATGCACCTCCCCGCCCCCAGCCGTCCGGTTCCCCTTTCCCTCCAGGTGCCCCTGACCCCCACCCGTTATGCCTCCCTCCCACGCCCCTCTAGTCTTCCTCCCCTCCGCCGCCCTCCTACCTCCCTCCCTTCCACCCCGCCCGCCCTTTCACCCCTCCCGGCCCATCCCCTCCCTCCCCCACCCCCACCCTCCCAATACTCCCATCCCCGCGGGGGGGCGCCAGGCCCAGCGGCCCGAGCTCCCGGGTCCCTGGCGCGGGTCCAGCCCGCGGCCCAGGACGGGCGGCGGCGGCGGGCGGGGTCCTGGCGGCGCGGTTTGGGGGTTTTTTATAACCTGGCCGGCGGCTCAGGAAGTGCCGTCCCCGCGCCCCCTCCCCCGGCCACGCCGCCGCGCGCGCTCCCTCCCTCCCTCCCTCCCTCTTCCCTTCTCCCGCTTCCCTCCTCCCGCCTCCCTGCTCCCTGCTCCCTGCTCCCTGCTCCCTGCTCCCTGCTCCCTGCTCCCTGCTCCCTCCTCCCTGGCCGGGCCGGCGCGACGGCGGCGGAGACGCGACTGAGGCCCGGCGGGCGGGCGGCCGGCCGCGGGTAAAGCGCTGGGGCTCGCGGGCCGGGCGGGTGCGTAACTTGGGGACTTGGTGTGTGTGTGTGTGTCGGATGGGGCCGGCCACGGCCATCGTCCCGCCGCGGGGTAGTGTTGGTGCGCCGTGTCCCTACGCGTGTGCGACACTGAGTTCAAGTGAGCGGCTGGGTGTGTGTGGACATCCACGTATGTGTAAATGAATGTGCTCTGCATGTGTGAGTCTGCGTGAAACATGTGCGTGATTATGTGGGGTGTTGTTTGTCTGCCCAAGTGTGAGTGTAAGCCAGCATGTGTGTGTCTCCAAACATCTGTCTCCGATGTGTCTGGGTGTAGCTGTAAATGCCTGTATGTAAGTGGGTCTGGGTGTGTGTCAGGTTTGTGGGACTTGGTGACTTTGTCCCTGGTCTGGTTGTGTGGATGAGTGTACATGTCTGTGTGTGTGAGCCCGGTGTGTGGGTGTGTGTGTGTGTCTGTCTCTAGGTTGTCTGTGTATTTCTGTGTGTGCACATAGGGCCGGAGAGTGTGTAGTTGTGTCTCCGGGGTGTGTGTACTGGGTGTGTGTGGGGGGGTCCTCTGTGGGTCTCTGGTGTCCAGTTGTTGGTCTGCAGCTGCGCAGGTGGGGCTGCCCCTGAGTGTGTGTCGCTGCCAGTGTGCATTTGTGTGTCTGGGTGTGAGAGTGGCACCGCCCACTTCCCCCGAGTTGGTCATGGAGGCCACTCTGTCTCAGGGTGTCTCCAGCCCATCCGGCTCCAGGCCTTTAATTAGCGGCTGGTTAGGGGGACCCACTGGTTTGTGGGTAGGGTGGGGTGGGCGGCCAGCCTTTGTCTGCTGGCCTCACGGGGTCTGCCTGGCCAAATGCGCAGCGCCCGGAGGCAGCTGGCAGCCAGGCTGGCGAGGCCTCTGCCTGGGCAGCTGAGGTCTTGGCCTCCACAGGGAGGCCCGGCAGCCCTGTCCTGCTAGCTGGCCCAGGAGGTCTGGGTGTGGAGCCACGGGCCCCTCCAGGATCCGGGGAGGGGATGGAGCCTCTGTTTCCGGGCCTTTTCCGCGGCATTTCCTCCTCCAGCTGCTGGCAGCCTCCCCCAGACTGCCTGCCTCCCTGCCTTTGGGAGGAGGGGCTGGGGGTTTGGCCTGCCCTGGGTATACACACACACACACACACACAGCCACACACAGCCACCCAGGCACACACAGCCTTATACAGGGTCACATGGGCACACACCGCACACAGTCACAGAACGGTTCCACCCTTACACAGTCACGCTCTTGCAGCCACACACACACCACAGAAATCCCCTGCTGACATGTGTTGTCCCAGCCCGGTTCCAGCCCTGGAATCCCCTGTCCCGGTACAGCCTCCTTTCCCATCCAGGCCCACTGACTCTCTAGTGGCCTCACCTCTTCCCGACCACCCCACAGACTGGGCCACTGTCCCAGGTGTTCTCCCCTGCCCTGCCCTACAGACACCTGTGTGCCCCCCCCCAGGCCCCTATCTCCCCATCCCCACTCCCACTTCCTCCACCCACTTATGCTGGATCCTTCGGCACTGTCCCCCACATCCCACCTGAACTGGAAGCACAAAGAGGGTGTGAAGTTGTTGGGAGGAGGGGTTCAGCCTCAGAACAGGGATGAGGATTTGAGACTGGAGCAGGAAGAGAGGCAAAAAGACAGAGCAGCCAGGATCAGAGCCACAGAGCGACTTAGGGGAGAAGACTCCGCACCACGGGGAAAGGAAGAGGGACAGGAGTGGGGGAGGGTTCCAGCCTCACTTGCAATGAAAATGCTGCCACCTTAACATGGGGGAAGGGCCTACGCCAGGGGGGACCAGGGGAGTCCACCAGGAAGGGCTTTGATCCCAGAGCTGGTCCTCTCAGGATGGAATAGGGGAGAGGAGGCAATAGGAAGTGAGGGAGGGGCTGGCAAAAGAGGAGAGGAGGGAGATTAAAGGGGTGGTGTGCTTCGGAAAAAGGAAGGATGAAATCCAAGAGGAGGTTCTCCAGGGCCAGAAAAAAGGGCAGAGTTTTCTCAGTGACCCCTGAACTCCACACCCAGCCCAGCTCCTCTTCACTGCCCTCTCCCTGCCCAACTCTGAAGAAGAAACAGGCCCAGAGAGGCTGGCGCACAGGGATCTGACGCCATGGCACTAACTGAAGCCCCCAGAGGTAAAAAAAAAAAACAGCAACAGCAAACCAAGCAGTAAACCCCAGCCCAGCTGAAGGGAGCAGCTGGGTCACAGAGTGCCAGAGAGTGAGCTCCCCATCACTGGAGGAGTCCAAGCAGAAGCGGGAAGCGTTGGCTTCTAAGTTAGTATCTTAGAGAAAACCTGGCTCTATCCCTCTGGAGCTGAACTGCCCTGTTTGGGGATCAGCTCCCAGACTTGGCCAGGCTGCAAAGAAAACAAGACAGTGTGTGATTAAGAGGGAGGAGGGTGGAGACAGAAGGGACAGGAGGGTTTGGCACAGAGTGGTGGCCCGAAGTGGTGTCTGTGTAGGCTGGCCTGGGGCAGAGAGCAGCAGAATCCTGGAGCTCCCAGGAAGAATCTGAAGGGAGAGGAAGCAGGACTGGGTCTAGCTGGAAATGCAAGGGTGAAGAGACATCACAGGGACCCAGACCATGCTGTAAGGGATTCCAGCTCTGCTGGCGCGATAAATAGTGTTACCTATGGCAGAGCATCCAAAGGCATAGCCCGGGAAATGGGATGGGGAGGGAGGAGCCACGCCCTAGCCTCAGGTTTAATCTGGGCGGAAACTTTACATTGACCTGCCTTCAAGAGTATTTGTGCCAGTTTCCCCTGCTAGCCTCCTGCCGCCGCCCCCCGCCCCCCGCCCCCCCCCCCCCCCCCCCCCCCGCCGTCCTTGTGGGTCCAAGATCCACAAGCTTCTCCCTGCCTCCAGGCCTTTGCTCCTGCTATTCTCTGCCTGGTGCACCATCTCCTGTCTCTTCACATGGTTGGTTTCTTCTCATCCTTCACACCTCTGCTTCTGAGCCCCCTCGTTATTTCTTGCAGATAACGTGTCACATCTGAACTCTTTATTTACTTGTCTGTCATCTGTCACACCCAGGAGACTGAGCCCCAAAAGGGAGAGCAGGCATTGTGTCCCTATCATGCTCAGTCATTACCCAGTGAATGGATCCTCCCAGGGCTATTGCAGAAATGAAGTGAAATGGTGTGAAATTGCTCAGGCCTGTAGCAGACACATGTAGGTGCTCATCGAGCCAAGAGTGCAGGGAAGATTCGGGGTGGGAACAGGGAGCTACTTGGTAAGGAAATGCATTTGGAATCTTCCAACCAGGGAAATGCCTTGGGGACCCTCCAGGCTGGGAGTAAGGAGCTGCAGGTCCCCCGGCAGCCCTGTGAGGGGCCTTGACAGTGTCTGCTGGGCGGATCACGCCCCTCCTGACCCAGCTCCTTCCTCCCAGGAGCCCAGTGATGCTGCCCAGGCTGTGAACAGGGAAGGCGGCACTGTGGGGGCTGCCGGCAGCCGAGGCAGGAGAGAGACATGTGGACACGTGGTCTCTATGGCCCCCGCCTACCAGATCCTCCACTGGGCCCTCGCCCTGGGGCTGGGCCTCACGTTCGAGGTCACACACGCCTTCCAGTCTCAAGGTAGGGCTGGTCCAGGGCCCTCGGTGGGGAGGGAGCGAGGAGCTATGGAGGGATCAGGTGAGACTGGGACTGTGGTTGTCGGGGGAGGAGAGTGGGGAGGCCCTGGGCCAGGAAGTCCCGGGTCTTGCAGCTGGTAGCCTAGATTCGGGAGCCAGTGGGGCTAGCATCACCTGCCCTACAGACAAGCAGCCAGGACTCAGGGGTCCTTCCCAGGGTCCACCCCGGGCCTCTGATCCTCACCTACAGATGAGTTCCTGTCCAGCCTGGAGAACTATGAGATCGCCTTCCCCACCCGAGTGGATGACAACGGGGCACTGCTGGCCTTCTCGCCCCCTGCCTCCCGGAGGCAGCGTCGGGGCACAGGGCCTGCAGCAGAGTCCCGTCTCTTCTACAAGGTGGCTGCACCCAGCACCCACTTCCTGCTGAACCTGACCCACAGCTCGCGCCTTCTAGCAGGACATGTCTCTGTGGAGTACTGGACACGGGAGGGCCTGGCTTGGCAGAGGGCAGCCCGGCCCCACTGCCTCTATGCTGGCCACCTGCAGGGCCAGGCTGACAGCTCTCATGTGGCCATCAGCACCTGTGGGGGCCTGGTGAGCAGAGGATTCTGGGAAGCAGGGAGGAAATGCCAATGAGTTTGGGAGTTAAGGAAAACACTTCTAAATAAAAGTCAGAGAGGAAATCACAGTGGAAATATTTAAAGTATTTTGAGCTAATCAAAAGAATTAGCTCATTTAGGGTGCAGCTAAAGCAGTGCTTAAAGGAAAATGAATAGCATTAGGTCATGCTGAAATGTAATCAGCTAAATATCATTCTCAAGAGATTATAAAAGGAGTAGCAACCTAAACCCAGGAAGATAAAAGGAACAAAATAAAGAGATATGGCCCCAGGGGTCCTGGGGACCAGGAACTGATCCGTGCCCTCTGTCCCACTTCCCCCACCCACAGCATGGCCTGATTGTGGCGGACGAGGAAGAATACTTGATTGAGCCTCTACAAAGTGGAACCAAACGGGGCCAGGGCCCGGAGGAGGGTGGCCCCCATGTGGTGTACAAGCGTTCCTCCCTGCGTCACCCCCACCTGGACACAGCCTGTGGAGTGAGAGGTACATCTGTCTCTGGGGACGGGCAAAGGGGTTGCACGACATCTTTACCGTAAGACAGAGGTAGGCAGCAGTGTCTCTTATCCAGAAGGTCGGCAGGCAGCTATGTGAGGGGAGGATTGGCATTAGTCAGACAGTGGAACAGTGGGGAGCAGCCCATCCATCACTGCCATAGACCAGTGGTCCAGCAGGAGACAGGCAGCTGGATAGCCATACAGGTGCTTGGGTATAAAACCACCTCCAGGATTACTGTCTGGCTAGAACACTGTGGCTGTCTGTGGCATTGCAGAGCTCTGGGACATTCAATGGTTGTATAACTGGAGAGGCTGGGATTGGGATACTATGGCAGACGACAACCACAGTCAGTTGTACAAACAGAAAGCTGGATGGTGTCACAGGCTAAGGCACAGTCAGTTGGGCAGTAGGGCCATCAAAAGCAGCTGTTTTGTTCCGTAGCCAGACAGTTGTGCAGTGTGTTGATTAGAAAGCTCCATATTTGGAAGGCCAAGAAAACATACAGTCACAACAGTTCCAGCAGTGAGTCCAGCCACTGCACACAGACATGCAGGTGGTGGATGGTCAGGAAGTTGTGTAGTCATGGTTGTCGTGGTGTGCCCGGCAGCTGTTCAGCCAGCCAGTTGGGCAGTAGGGTAGCCACATCGTGTAGAACCAGATGGAGCATTAATCCACTTAATGGAGCATTTCTAGAACCAGACATTGGACAACTGAAATGCCCACTAGCAAAAGAACAAGATATTTGACGGCCCATTGGGCAGGTGGATCAGCATACAGGGAATTGGACCACAAGAGCAAGCAGCGTAATGACCAGAAATTATCCATCCAGATGAGAAACCGTGGAAGGGGCGGCCATGGTGGCTGCGCACCCTGAAGCCGCCACCTGCCAGGCCCCTGGGCAATGAGACGGAGCGCAGCCAGCTGGGCCTGAAGCGCTCCGTCAGCCGAGAGCGCTACGTGGAGACCCTGGTCGTGGCCGACAAGATGATGGTGGCCTACCACGGGCGCCGAGACGTGGAACAGTACGTGCTAGCCATTATGAACATTGTAAGTGCCTCCCCCTCCCAGGGAATGAAGCCCCAAGAATCTGGAGCCAGCCTCCAGAGGTCAGGAAAAGGGTGTCACCGTCCACCCCCAACTGCTACCTGAGGCTAGAGAAACAGAATGGAGGGGGCACAGGGTGAGAAAGGACGACTGCAGAGCACAGCGCCTCGGAGCATGGACTCTGAAGCCAGCCAGCCTGGGCTGAAATCTCAGCTCTGCCACTTTTTATTTGTATGTCCTTGGACAAATGACTTCACCTCTGCCTTGGTTCACTCATATGTAAAATGAGGATAATAATAGTATTCACTTCATAAGACGAAGGTGGATGCAGTGACTAGATAAAGCACTTGGTACACAGTAAGAGTTGCATAGTTGTTTGCTATATAAAAATGAGCATGCAGCTTGCAGGTACTTGTTGAGGTTACCAGTACACACATGGGCACACATCTGTGTGCAGGTAGAGTTCTCACTCATACACTTACCTATGAATTCATACAGCTGACCTCGCTGACCCACATTCAGTAGCCATATTAGATCTCAAGACTCTGGTCCCCTCTAAATCTCAGTTTTCCCCTCTGTAAAGTGGGATTGTAATAGTATCTACAACAGAGCATGAGAGTTGGTGGGAGGGAAACCAGAGCAGTTGGCACATAATAAGGGCTTGATGAGTGGTGCTCTTGTTTCACTGAAGCAAAAAGGGAAAGAAGAAGTTCAGCAGACAGATGGCTCAATGTTCACATGACAGCGTACCTGATTCCACTCCTTCTTCCTCAGTCCTGCCTCTCTCCCTTATTTCCTAACACCTGCTAGAAACTGCTAGGGTTTCTGTGGGTTTCCACTTTGGGGCATTGATATCCTAGGGCTCCAGGATATCTGGATGGTGTGACCTGCATCTTTTGTGCCCTCTCACCCCTGAGCCACAACCTCCTTCCCTCTAACCACTATCTCTAGAGCTTTCTTCCCCCACACTTCCACCTTTTTGTAGTGATGCTCAAATTGGTGTCTTTAGATCGCCACGGAATGAGGCGCATCCCTCCGGCCATCTCTGGGCAGAGACTCAAGGAAGCCAGGGGGTGGGCAGGGGAGGAATGAAGGGCGAAAAAAAACTGACTAGCTGAGCAAGGGCGAGTCAGAAAGAAATGTACTGGCAAGCAACCAGTACTTTGCAGGCAGGCTTACCAGACTTGAATCCCACTTATGACACCTACCAGCTGTGTTTTCTAATCTCTCTGTGCATCAGTTTGCTCATCAGCAAAATGGGAATAATAGTATCTACTCATGCAAAGGTATATGGACAGACTTAGCCTGAGCTGGGCATACAGTAGGAATTTGATAAGGCGAGCTATTGTCATTGTATTTTCATTGTTTGCTACTCTGGGCCCCTCTTAAGACTCCGTTTCTCTTGTTTCTTGGAGGTCAGGTTGCCAAACTTTTCCAAGACTCGAGTCTGGGAAACATCGTTAATATCCTGGTAACACGGCTCATCCTGCTCACAGAGGACCAGGTGCGGGGGGGGGGGGGGGGGGTGTCCCACCCCTTTCCCTGCACACCAGTGCCACCTGCCCTTTCTGGGGTGGCTAGCGCCCATGCACCTCACTCTGTCCATCCTCAGCCCACTTTGGAGATCACCCACCATGCCGGGAAGTCACTGGACAGCTTCTGTAAGTGGCAGAAATCCATTGTGAACCATAGCGGCCATGGCAACGCCATTCCGGAGAACGGTGTGGCCAACCATGACACAGCGGTGCTCATTACGCGGTGAGGGTTGGGGAGGCCTCCAAGATGTGGGCCAGGGGAACGGGTAGTTTAGGGGACCATCCAGGTCCAAGCAGGGGATTACCTGCTAGATGGAGAGGCTGGGACTATTCAGCTGCCCCCTTGAGGAGCCAGACATGGGAGGGGCAGCTGGGAGCCTAAGAATCTGGGAAGGCGGATATTGGGCCATTGGAGTGCTAATGCACTCCTTCACTCATTTCTCAGTCAGTCATGTGCCCCATTATCCCCAAGGCAGGCTGCAGCCAGAGCGTGAGGCTTCGGGTGAGAGGCAGGTAGCACTCCCAAGCAGAACTTAACCCCCAGAAACAGGCATGGTGGCATCATCGGGGCTTAGGGAGGCAGCCCAGCTTCCTCATCGCCCCCCTCTCCTTCCACAGCTATGACATCTGCATCTACAAGAACAAACCCTGCGGCACACTAGGTACCCATGCCCCTTGGTTCTGGCACCTATGAAGGCAGTGGGCTGGGTGGCGCTGGCCCTGGTGTGGGTGGGGACTTTGCAGGGTGGATGGGGGCAACCAGCACAGCTCTGAGCCCCAGCCCCACCCCACGTGCCCATTTCCCAGGTCTGGCCCCTGTGGGGGGGATGTGTGAGCGCGAGAGAAGTTGCAGCATCAATGAGGATATTGGCCTGGCCACGGCGTTCACCATTGCCCATGAGATCGGACACACGTGAGGCCCGGGGACACAGGAGGGGGAGGACAGAAGGGTCCAGCAGGCTCATCGGCACCCAGCAGAGCCAATACTCCTCTCCCCAGGTTTGGCATGAACCACGACGGCGTAGGGAACAGCTGCGGGGCCAGGGGCCAGGACCCAGCGAAGCTCATGGCTGCCCACATTACCATGAAGACCAACCCATTTGTGTGGTCATCCTGCAGCCGCGACTACATCACCAGCTTCCTGGAGTGAGGATGGACCTGCCTTTCCTGCCTATAGGCTCACACTCGTGTTGCGGGGCGGGGGTCCCCTGGATATCAGGGCTGCCTCTGAGAAGGGTTGTGTCGCCTGCAGGGGCTGCTCCCCGGGACCCCACCCAGCCGGACCCCCTGAGCTCTTGGCCTGCAGCCCCCCAGCATGACAGCTGCTTTCCTCTTGCCACAGCTCAGGTCTGGGGCTCTGCCTGAACAACCGCCCCCCCAGACAGGACTTCGTGTACCCAACCGTGGCGCCCGGCCAGGCCTACGATGCCGATGAGCAGTGCCGCTTCCAGCATGGAGTCAAATCGCGTCAGTGTAAATACGGGGTAGAGAGAGCCTTCCTGCTTTCCTTCCTGGGAGGGGAGGGGGTTGCAGGGATGGGTGACTCTACATGGGCACCCTCACCCCAGGCAGTGGGTTTGGGAGAGCCAGGAAGAGGAGTGAGCCCCATGGGGCCCAGGGGCACAGAGGGGCCTTGGGTTGTACAGATGTCACAACCAGACAAGATTGAGGACAAGAGTGGGATGTCCTGGCTCTCCAGACCCCTGATTGGGAACTGGGCTGGGGAGACGGGGAGGCCACCCTCTGTGCAGCATGTCAGGCTGCGGCAGGACTAGAGTCCCAGGAGCACTAACTGGCCATTTTTACCCAAACATTCAGACATGGTGGAAATCGCTTCCCTGGGGAAGAACCATTTCCCCACTTGGCAAAGAACTGGACAGAGCCTTCTAGAGACACCCTGTCTGCACTCCCCACATTCCCTACCAACCGGTACACCGATCTGCTGGCCCCAGTCCTTGGCTGGACGAGCTCTGGACCTCATTACTACTCCCCAACTCTTTCCTGAAATTTAGACTCAGCTCCCAAAGCCCCAGCTATACATAAAGAAGCCAGCTAGGGTCCTTCTCCCAGCTTCCCCCCGGGAGCTGGAGCCTGCTGGCCTCCTGCTTCAGCTGGAGTCTGCCCCTCTACTGCCCACCTCCCCTAATTCCCAAAACACGCTCCCCGCCTCCTCACAGCCTCGGCCCTAGTAGCCTGACCCAGTCCCAATACTTCACACCCTCCAAACTCAGAAGGTCAGAGTTTGCAAGGCCATGTCCAAGCTAAGGCCATGTTAACCCAAAACAGGGAGTAGGCAGCTGTTAAAATGCCCTCACTTCATTTCAGTGCTAGACAAGGAGGTAAACCCTGGATCAATGTATGTGTAATTGGCATTCCTCTCTTGCCCCCACACCCTAACTTGTCTGGTGACTGTAGCACTCTCTAATGAGTTCCAATAGAATTCTGAAGCTCCCTTGAGCATCTGCTGTGCCCCAGGTACCCTAACAATGATCACGGTTGGCATTTACTGAGCATTCACTATATGCTAAGTATGTGATATGCCTCATCTCATTTGAGCTCCTCATGGTCCTATTAGCCCCGCATTACAGATGAAGACACTGAGGCACGGGGAGAGTGCCTTTCCCAGAGTTGGTATTTAAGTCCAGGCCTCTGGGACCAGATTTTATAGAGGTGGGAGAGGGGAGGAAGTGCCAGACAGCAAACATGGATCAGTGCAAGCTGTAGGTTAAATTGATTCTCCCTTTTATTTTTCCAAAGAATGTGTTCCTTGCCCTCCTGGTGGAGGGGAGTCGTTAACTACATGTAAATTGGTTAATATGTCTAAGGAGCTGGGCTTACCTAGTGTCTGCTCCAGAGTTAGCTGTGGTCATTGTTACTCTGTGCAAGCCCTTTCATGTCTACTCTGGCACATGCCTCTCAACCTGTTATGTAGGCAAGGCCCATCTTGTAGATGAGGAAACTGTAGCCCAGAGGGGGCAAGTGTGTTGCAAGTGGCGGGATGGAAGCATCAATATATTCCAGTGTGTCCTTGTGAGGAGGAGGGAAAGCCGGGCTGGGATAGGCACTCTCTCCAGGAGGCGTCAGAGCACGTGATATTTTTACAAATGGCCAGGATGCAAGCCATGTGAAGCCAGAAGACCAGGTTGAGTTTTTAGCTGAGAAGTATCCTCTGAAGGGGCAAAAGGCAGGGACCCTGGAGGGTGTTGGAGGGAGATCTCAGGACAACCCTCCAAATTTTTCATGTATGTACAGGTCTCTCACGGAAGCTGACCCAGAAAAGGTCCCTTCCTGTGGCCACTGAGTGGTCCAGTACCACACCTTTGAAGCTTGGAAGGATCCCTTTCTCAGGAGATTACATGTGATTACAGACAGGAGACTGGAGGGTCTCCCACGTCACAGGGGAAAGATCCTGGGGCCTGGGGCAGGATGTGAGCGAGAGAGTCTACCTACGTACGATTTGGCCACACCTGAACCCAATGGGGCTTGTCCAGTGATATTAACCTGGACCTAAAGGATTGGAGTGACTTCCTGGGACTGGTATAGGACTTGCTGCTAGGTCCTGGCCCAGCCCAAGCAGGATTCCGAGGAAAGTCCCACACAGATCCAGCCTGGCCTTGTCCTCTCCCAACCCTTCATAGATTAAAATCTTTGAGAACGTCCCCAGTTAAGTGAAGGGAACAAGGAGAACCACCCACTGGAGAGAAGTGAGAGACGGGGCCCCTGACCTGAGCCACCTCCAGGCCTGATCTTTCTGAACTACTGCGCCTCCGTGGGCTGCTTGCCCATCCCAGAAAGGAATCCAGAATCCTTCCTCTCTACATTCCTCAGCAACCCTATGTTTCCTTCTAGAAACTCAGGAGATGCCAGGGACTGAACTGATGAGGGTTTACATCATAGACTCTTCAGTCAAAGGTCTGGGTTGATAACCAGGCTGCCCTCTAGTAGCTGGGCAACCTTCAGCAAGTGACCTGACCTGGCCTTGATTTCCTCGCAGTGGAATTGGGAGAATGATGTCTACGGGAATGTATGCCACACATAGGTGTTCAATAAGTGCAGTGCGTATGTAGGCAGAGAGGAGGGCCCAGGCCATACCCTGCCACAGTATCCAAGAAGATGCCTTGAAACCCAGGGCCCCACTGCCCAACCGGCAGTGAGCCTGGGTCCTCCTGAAGGAGGAGGGCGAGCTTGAGCGGGCATCTCGGCCGCAGGAGGTCTGCAGCGAGCTGTGGTGTCTGAGCAAGAGCAACCGGTGCATCACCAACAGCATCCCGGCCGCAGAGGGCACGCTGTGCCAGACACACACCATCGACAAGGGGGTGAGCGCAGGCCGAGGCCCGCCCCTTGTCCGTGGGCCGCCCCATCCCGAGCCTTGCCTCCAGGGTCACGTGGTCTCCGGCCACGCCTGCTTCCTGCCGGTCCCGCCCCTAACCTGCGTCCACACCCCCACACCGTCTCCAGCCCCGCCCGCACCATTGTCCCAGTGCCAGCTTCACGCCCCTTGAACATTGCGTCTGGCTCCCTGGCCACACCCTTATGCCATCTGTTTGCACCCTGGTCCTCAAGCCCCACCTTTGCCCCACTTCAGCCCCATTCCAGGGGAGCTGAGGCCTCTGGCTGGGTGGGAGGGGAGCACCAACCCCCTGAGGGTTTCTGAGCTGGACTCACCCCTCCCACAGTGGTGCTACAAGCGGGTGTGCGTCCCCTTCGGGTCACGACCTGAGGGCGTGGATGGGGCTTGGGGCCCGTGGACCCCGTGGGGAGACTGCAGCCGGACTTGCGGCGGTGGCGTGTCCTCCTCCAGCCGTCACTGCGACAGCCCCAGGTCAGTCCTCAGGACCCCCTACGAGGAAATGGAGGGGGCCGCCCCTCCTTCCCCTGCCCTATCCTCTCCTGCTCTCCCACCCTTTCCAGGCCAACCATCGGGGGCAAGTACTGCCTGGGCGAGAGACGGCGGCATCGCTCTTGCAACACTGATGTGAGTTCCCCCAGCCCCGTCCCTCAGAGGAAAAAAGTCATAAATCAACTTCCAAGGAGCCGCTGCAGGCCTTCTGCCTTCCCTGCCCCTCGACACATGTCCCATCCCACCCAGGCCCAGTTTACCCCTGGCGCCTCCCGGGGGATCTGGGTCCTTCCGATTCTTTTTTTTTTTTAATATATTTTTATTGATTTCAGAGAGGAAGGGAGAGAGAAATAGAAACATCAATGATAAGAGAATCATTGATTGGCTGCCTCCTGCCCTTGACCGGAATCAAGCCGGGCACCATTCAGTCCACAGGCTGAAGCACTATCCACTGCACCAAGCGAGCTAGGGCTCTTTTATATATAACAGAGAGAGATAGAAACATCAATGATGAGAGAGAATCATTGATCGGCTGCCTCCTGCACACCCCTACTGGCCATCCAGCCGGCAACCCCGGCCTGTGCCCTGACCAGGAATCCAACCTCGACCACTTAGCCACACCGGCCGAGCTCCTGCCAATTCTTGCATAGATGAGTCTTCCACACCCACTCCCTGCCCCAAAGCTGTCTCTGAGTTCTCTGGCACCAGCCCAGTAGCCCTCTTCTGACCAGGGCTGTGCCTCCTGTCTAAAACTCCGCCTCGCCTGCATCACCAAGCCCTGCGCTCCCAGCCCCTCCTAGGCTGCGCTTCTCTGCTGCCCCTTTTTAATGCTGGGATCCCCCTGGCTCATCCTGGAGTAAACACATCTCGTGTGCACACACCCAATAAACACAAGACAGCGTGGAGTGCTAGGAGGGTGGAGAGCTACTGATGAGGGGTAGGCTCGTGTCTCTGAGGGGTCCACATGCCCCTCACACTCGCAAAGAGTTAGGCACCTTCCCCAATTTGCCTTGCTCCTTTATAGATATGCTCTCTCAAGAAAGGCCCCAGGTCTGAAACTAGAAACCTAGGCATCCTCCCCAGCTTGCATCTAACATCTGATGAGTCACCTAGTCCCTCTCAAATGCACCTGTCCCTCCAGCCCCACAGCCTGGACCTAGCCCTGGCTACCATCCAACCCTTCATAGCCTCCTCCCTGGCCTCCCGACCTCCCTGCTTCCAGCCTCACTCCTCCAACTCATCTCTGCTCTGAGCATTAGTTCTTCGCCCTAGGCCTCTGCCCTAACTCCCTCCCTGGACACCTGGCCTCCCTCCCTCTCCCATCTCGTGCCCCCAGGACTGTCCCCCTGGCTCCCAGGACTTTAGGGAAATGCAGTGCTCTGAATTTGACAGCGTCCCCTTCCGTGGAAAATTCTACACATGGAAAACATACCGAGGAGGTGAGTCGGGGGCTGAGGAAGCCGTGCGAGCATCCAACAGCAGGTGGATACAGCATCTTGGGGTCTGCCCTGAGCCCTCCCCTCACTCAAGGAGCCAGAATACCAGACTGAATGCTGGGAACCCCCATTCCATCTACCTAGCCTGCCTAGTCTTCACGGATCTGGGGTCTGTCCCTCCTGGCCTCACCTCCCCCAGGGAGCAAGCAGGGAGCCCCAGGGCCTCCTGGCCCTTGGTCTGATGGGACCATGCCCCCCAGGGGGCGTGAAGGCCTGCTCGCTCACCTGCCTAGCAGAAGGTTTCAACTTCTACACGGAGAGGGCAGCAGCCGTGGTGGACGGGACACCTTGCCGCCCAGACACGGTGGACATTTGTGTCAGCGGCGAGTGCAAGGTGGAAGGGACTTCCAGAGAGAGGGAAGGGCTGGGGATGGAGGAATGGGCACCTCACTGACACCCTCACCACCGCTGCCCTCCCCAGCATGTGGGCTGCGACCGGGTCCTGGGCTCCGACCTGCGGGAGGACAAGTGCCGAGTGTGTGGGGGTGATGGCAGTGCCTGCGAAACCATTGAAGGGGTCTTCAGCCCAGCCTTGCCTGGGGCTGGTAAGATACCCCTACTTCCTTGTCACACTCCCTCCTGGGCTGGGGGTTGGGGGGTGACTGGCCCCACCACACTAGTCAAGATTAGCAAATTCTCAGACCCAGGGACCCAGTGGAGTGTTGAGACCCCAAGAAGACCCCAGCAATGCCCCAGATCAGGGTCATCTACCTAGCCTGCCTAGTCTTCACAGATCTGGGGTCTGTCCCAGGGCTTGGGCTCTGGAGCCAAAATCTTGGCAATTAAAATATCCAAGGGGGTGGGGACCTAAATCTCTCCCCTGCCCCTTCCAGGGGGCCTCCTGCCCAAGTGTGGTTCAGGAGCGAGTACAGAGGTTGGGCAGTTAAACCAGGACTTGGGACACATGTGGGCAGAGACAGGGGTCCTTAGGGCCCATAAGCCTTGCAACCCCTACTCTGAGTGCTAAGACCACCATGTCACCTCTGTGGGTTGGGGCCTCCACAGTGGCCTCGTCTCTACCCAGGCCCATACCTGCTGTTTATTGGGGTAGGAGGTGGAGGGCGGGGCAGATCCGACCATGTTGGTGGTTAGAAAGGCATGTTCAAATCCCAGCCCAGCTACCTCCTATCTGTCAAACCTGGGCAAGTAGCTTTGCGTTTTGTTTTGTTTTGTTTGTTTGTTTGTTTGTTTGTTTGTTTGTTTTAGCTTTGCTTCTTTGAGCCTCAGTTTTGTTACATGTAAAATGGGCATGATGACACATCTACTGCATAGGGCTGGAGCTGGGCGTGCAGTGTCATGTCCCTGGAAGCACTTAGCACAGTAATGGCTAGCTGCTGTCATCCAGTGCTGAAGGCAGGCAGGTGTGGGGGGCAGACCAAGTGGGTGACACCTAGCTTCCCTGTCCAGGGTATGAGGAAGTCGTCTGGATCCCCAAAGGCTCCATCCACATTTTCATCCAGGACCTGAACCTCTCCCTCAGTCACTTGGGTGAGATGGAGGTGAGGGGATGAGGACTGGGGGTAAACCTGGCTGGAATTCTGACTCCTACACTGTCCCCCAGCCCTGAAGGGGGACCAAGAGTCCCTGCTGCTGGAGGGGATGCCCAGGACCCCTCAGCCCCACCGCCTGTCCCTGGCTGGAACCACCTTTCAGCTGCGACCTGGGCCAAATCAGACACAGAGTCTAGAAGCCCTGGGACCCATCAATGCATCTCTCATCGTCATGGTAATGGTGGGGCAAGGTGCAGGAGGACATGGCACCCTTGTGGGGACTCCAAGCTTGACTTCCTTCTGATGCACCCTCCACCCCAGGTGCTGGCCAGGACAGAGCTACCTGCCCTTCGCTACCGATTCAACGCACCCATCATCCGTGATGCACTGCCCCCCTACTCCTGGCACTACTCACCTTGGACCAAGTGCTCTGCCCAATGTGCCGGTGGTGAGGGCAGGGGAGGGGCCCGGGGGGCACTAGTCATCTGACCCTCTGGATGGGGCAGGGCTGAGTGCGCCTCTCACCTGCCCCCAGGCAGCCAGGTGCAGGCCGTGGAATGCCGCAATCAGCTGGACAGCTCGGCCGTGGCCCCCCACCACTGCAGCGCCCAGAGCAAGCTTCCCAAGAGGCAGCGGGCCTGCAACACCGAGCCCTGCCCACCTGAGTGAGTACCTGCGGGTGACAATGCTGCTGAGATCAGAGAAGCACGTGGTCCCAGGATTGGGGTGACTGCTCCCCAAGGTAGAGCCAGGGCTCTCCTGGAATCGGAGTGGGTGCGCCCTAGCCAAGTGCTTTTCTCTCGGGTGCTGTGCCTCCCTGCCCCAGGTCGGGGCTTGGGCTGCTCATTTCCATAAGGACGCTGGTTGCTGGTTGCTGGTTGCTGGTTGCTGGTTGCTGGTTGCTGGTTGCTGGGGAGGAGGCTGAGCCGGTGCGGGGGCAGGTGCCCGGCCTGCACTGTCAGCCCCCTGTCCCCACAGCTGGGTTGTGGGGAACTGGTCGCGCTGCAGCCGCAGCTGTGATGCCGGCGTGCGCAGCCGCTCGGTGGTATGTCTGCGCCGCGTGTCCGCCGCGGAGGAGAAGATACTGGACGACAACTCCTGCCCGCAGCCGCGCCCGCCCATCCTGGAGGCCTGCCATGGCCCCACCTGTCCGCCGGAGTGGGCCGCCCTGGACTGGTCGGAGGTCAGCCGCCCCTTCCCACTTCGCGGACCCACTCCCTGTGCAGCAAGGGGCAGGGCCTGGTGCCGGGTGCCCCCTGAGGTACCCTCTGTAGTCGCAAGTCCCTCCCGCCAGCCCTAGCGGACCACCCTCGACTGGTCCGAGATGAGCCGGCTTCCTCACCATCCAGGGACCAGCAGCACCTCTCGGCTCCCTGTGCGGCGGGGAAGGGCAGGGTGGCCGCCTACTAAGCATGAAACGCCCCTCCAATGCAGTGCACCCCCAGCTGCGGGCCAGGCCTCCGCCACCGCGTAGTCCTTTGCAAGAGCGCAGACCACCGTGCCACGCTGCCCGCCGCGCACTGCCCGCCCGCAGCCAAGCCGCCAGCCACCATGCGCTGCAACTTGCGCCGCTGTCCCCCTGCCCGCTGGGTGGCAGGGGAGTGGGGCGAGGTAGGTGGCCACCCTGGGGGATGGAGGCCAGGACAGGGGCGGCTGGGTGGCGGCTCATCCGAGGTGCCCCACAGTGCTCTGTGCAGTGCGGCCTCGGACAGCAACAGCGCGCCGTGCGCTGCTCCAGCCACACAGGCCAGCCGTCGCGCGAGTGTACTGAGGCCCTGCGCCCCCCAGCCACGCAGCAGTGCGAGGCCAAGTGCGACAGCGCGCCCCCCGGGGACAGCCCGGAAGGTATGTGGGCAGGAGGCCCAGGGATGCTGGGAGGGCCCTGTCCAGAGGAAGCCACTGGAGAGTGTGGGGTTGACCATTGGCCAGAGACCTTCCCCAACCACTGAACGCCTTTTCATCTCCCAGGCCAGCCGGCACCATCCCCTCACCACAGACATGTATTAAATGCCACTGTGTGCCCAGCGTTTTAGGCACCTGATCCTTTTGGAGCCCAAACTGGGGTTACTCCCCCAGCCACCTCCATAACCTTCGACTTACTCATCTCCACTGATAACGCATTATTTGCCTAATATTCTTTCTTTAAATCAGAGTTTCTTAACCTCAGGTACTATTGACATGTTGGGCCACATGATTCTTTGTCATGGGTCTGCCCTGTGCATTGTGGGATATTTAGCAGCATCCCTGACCTCTACCTGCCTGATGCCAATAGGACCCCTCCCCCCAGTGGTAATAACCAAAAATGTCTCCAGACATCGCCAGGAGGGTGAAGTCACATCCCCTTGAGAACCACTTCTTTCAATATACCCTTTTTTTTTCCTATCAAAGTAAAAATTTTTGTACTTATTCCTAGTACAGGAACCAAACTGCCTGAGTTCACCTTCCACCTTTTGCTTTCCTTTCTCATCTGTGAGGGAGTGAAAAATATATTCACTTGAGAGGATGCTGCATTAGAGGGGTGGCCTGAAATAATCCATGTGGAGCCCAGGGGCTCTGAGACCTGATTCCCAACCCTCTCCCGCCCTCTGCAGAGTGCAAGGATGTGAACAAGGTCGCCTACTGCCCCCTAGTGCTCAAATTTCAGTTCTGCAGCCGAGCCTACTTCCGCCAGATGTGCTGCAAAACCTGCCATGGCCGCTAGGGGACAAGCAGCCCCTGAGCCACAGCTGAGCGCCAGCTTGGGGGTGGAGGGGACCGGCTGCAGCTGGCCAGTCTGAAGGAGCCCGCCAGGGCAGGAGCTGGGAGTGAAGGGTGAGATGGAGCGGAAATTATTTATTGGAAACCCATGAAGGGCCCTGGCTGGGAGATGGAGAGGGGCTGGCCATCCCCAGGGCCCCTCCTCAGCTCCTTTCCCAGTTCACAGTGAGACCCCCTCCGGGTGGGTTGAGAAGGGAACGACTGTTTGACTTAGCGCTCTTTACACCCACCCCTAGGGAGCCCCCTAAAATCCCCCACCTTTGGTTGGAATACATACTGTGAAGAGTGGGGGTGGGGAAGGGGGTCAGCCAGTGCCCTGATCCCCAACACTGCCCTTTCCCTCGACTCTGGTCTGGAAGGGGTCTATGTCCACCATGGGAAAAGGGAATTAGCACGACTTCCTAGCACCCTCCCCTTGACAACACCAGCTACAGGGGTGGGTAAGAGGTGGGAAGATCCACCCAACCTCTGCCCGGTTGCTCACCCCCATCATGGTGCTACAGGCCCTGCCCTGGGGCCCGCACACCCCTTGCCAGGAAGTGCTACATCAATAAAGTTCTGTCTTGTGTAGATTTGTGCACCTGATGTGTGTGTGTGTCCCTGACGCAGACTGCAAGCAGCCCAGCAGCCTGGAAGGGGGCTTTTGCCAACACAAACTAGAGCCCAGTGATCTTAGGGCAAATGTATGGCTTCTTGCAGAGTCTCTCACAGTCTCGGGGTCTGACACCTGCCAACCCAGCCACCAACACTCCTGGTCACTCTGAAAGCTCCAGCCACACCTGCCTTTGCTTGAGCTGTTTCCTCGGCCAGGTGTGCCTTCCCCTTCCCTCTTCATCTGGTTAGCTCCAACTTACCTGCCCTCAGCACAAGGTTGCCTTCCCTTATGGCCAACAAAGTGGAGGTCCTCCTGCCTACGTATTCACCCTTAATGCCTGGAGGCATATGCTGAGGTTTGCAGGTGCCCAACCGATTCTGCGAGCAAAGGTGCACAAGCAACGCAGAGAGAAAAGGGTGCTTCCTCATATGTGGCCACGAGGGGAAGACACACTTGGCAACCTCTAGGTAGGATGCTGTGCAACCCTGGGCCACAGGCATTTCCCCTCCCCCTCCCTGCCGGGCTTTCCCAGCAGCGAGGCTGCTGCCTCCACCGCCTCCTTGCTGTGTGGCACGGGGAGGTGATGACCTCTCAGAACTGCCATTTCCCCAGTTGTCAAGAGGAGACCAGTATGTGGCCTGCTGATTTCCCAAAGATCAGGACATGGGCCCACATTTTATGGATCCAGTTTCTGCCAGATGCTGCTGGAGAGGCCTGCATCCCCGTTTTATGATGAGAAAATAGGGGGACCCCAGAAGTAGCAGAGCTAGGGTTTGTTAACTCCAGACCTGACCTCCAAAGTTGGACCTTCCAAGTGCACCTGGCTCCTGGTACCTTCCCCTGGTACCACTCCCGTTGCCCTTCCCCTGGCACATGGGCACGTGCAAAGACTGTCGTAAAGGACCATCTGAGGCCGCTCTGGAAGCAGGTGTTCGTTCAGGATGCCCAGCGAAGACCAGTGTCTGATGCAGTTTTGTAGAGATCTGGGCAGCCCAAATGCTTCCTGGGGGCCACCTTGAACAGAGCCATCAGTACTGCAGCCAACTGACCTGTGAGCTCCTTCCTGCAACCCCTGTCCGCAGGGAGTTGGAGAAGGGGCCTTCTGGGGTCTGGCAGCTGCTCCCACCAACCCTGGACCTCTCCCTTCTGGCTCAGAGCCCCAAACAGCCAGCTCTCAGCCCTGCCAGCTGCTGGAGCTCTCTCCCCGCCCCCCGGGCCTAGCTTCCCTCCCCAGTAGCCACGGGCCCCTCCCGCCAAAGGAAGTGAAAGGGGGGGGCTGTTGTAAGAGGAACTAGGGCTGGGAGCCGGGTGAAGGAGATGCAGGGCCATGCCTGAACCACCCCCCGGAACCCCCTGAGCCTGCACCCCTACCACAACCCACTCAAGCACCACCTGGAACCCAGATACCACCCCCACCATGGTAAGTCCTTCAAGAAGGTGGGCCCTGAAGTGCAGGGGTTGGGGGTCCCAGTCAGGTGGAGGTGCCCTGGAAGCCACCATCAGAAAGTACAGCCATGTGAATGGGGCACAGCAGGCCCTTTAGGGGGTCCCTCCATGCAGCTCATGTGCTCCCAGCATCCCTCACCAGGACCAAACTCCCATCTAATGGTGGACAGGATGCCAGAATAATGATGGGGGTGGGGGCAAGAAATGGAGGATTGAAGGTGGCCATGAGGGATCACACAGTGTCTGCAAGGACAGGGACATACCCATTTCTTAGGGCTTAGGAAACCTGGTTTCCGACTCAGCTTGGTGCCTTATCTCCCCGTATGGTCCTGGGAAAGTCAATTCCCCTCTCTGGGCCTTAGTTCCCACATAGGCCATATTTGGAAGTCGATTGAGAACCTCTCAGTTGGAACTTCAGAGGGTCTGTGGGTTCAGCCGCTCTGAGTCCACACCAGGGGGAAGCTGTGTTAAATGGGTGGTGGGGTACAGTGATGGTGTAGTGACAGCATGCCTGCATGGTGACGGGTGGGCTGGCTGTAGCAATCCCAGAAGCAGATGTGAGATGCAGCGTATCTGCATCACCACTGGTACCCTTCCATGTGAGGATGGCAAGGAAGACACTGCAGGCAAAGGCGTCCTGCCTGTGAGGGTGAGGTCTAATTGTGACTGTGGGGAGTCTGTCACAGTCATGGGTTTAGAGCCAACGGCATCAAGCATACACATTAAGAGAGAGCCTGAACTGGTGGTAAAGTCACCCCCACAGCTCCATGCATCTGCAACCACTTCAACTTTCATTTTTTGTCATCCTGTCAATGAGGGCGTGGGGTTGGAACAGTCACAGAGCCAGTGGTGACAACTGCAGGACTTCTGGCAGCTGCAGCAAGCAGCTGGACAAGGTGGAGGCAGGGAGGTAGACCAGGAGGCAGCATCTATGTTAGTCTGAGAGGACATCTTACTTCAGAAAGCTGATGAAAAGTTGGGCACCTTTGGCCAAAGATCCACCTGGGTAATTTATAACTCAGCCATCAGCTAGAGCTCTGAGCTTGGGACAGAAACTCTTCCAAGAAGGAGTCAAGCCAGGAAGACTCAGGAGCTTAGATAGGCAGGCTTTGATCAAAAGAACACAGGAAATTATCTGCTACTTGAGAGAAAAGCAGCCCCTCCCAAGGAAGCTGTGTGGAAAATGCTTAGTCAATGTTTGCTTGGTAATAGGGTCTGGGAAGGGAGAGACTCACCCCAGAGGAACACAGCAGGAAAAAAGAGTGGAACCCATCCATGAGGCCAATACCTCTGACATCTGCCTGGAGGAGTGATATGTGCAGGGAGTGTTGAAAGGTTCAGAGAAACAATGTTCATAGCTTATTCATGGCTGGAGTTAGTGGTCACAGTGTGTGGAGGTGACTCTTAGTGGCTGAAGAGGAGTTTCTGTTGAAAGGTAACTGCTGAGCTGTTGGGTTGTTGGTGCCATTGGTTGTGATGATGTTGCTCTTGGTTGTTGAACATTGGTGGTCACAATGGTTCTCGTGGGTGGGTTGGCAGTGGTGATGGTTGTTTTCGGTGCCAGCTGGTGATGAACATTGATGGATGGTGGTTGGTTGCTTTGATCCTGAGGGTAGATCCATGGAATAATGGCAGTTTGTGGTCACTGCTATTCAGAGTTGGGTGACTGAAGATGATGTTTGTTTGCTGTTGGTAGTTCATTTTTCATTTTTGGTGACAACATCAGCAGTGGTGTTGTTGTACTGCTGGTTTTTTGAAAGGGGTATTATTGATTGCTGCTTCAGTGGTAGCTCGCTGTGTGGTTGCTGATGGCTCATATTGTGATCTTGATGGTGGTAAGTTATTACGGGTTGCTGGTGCTAGGACAGGTGGGTGGTGGTGGTGGTGGGTGATGGTAGGGACATTGGTAGCAGAATCCATCGTCATTTCATTTGATGTTGGTTGATGGTACTGCCATTGGGGTTATCAGCAGTTTGTTTGACTTTGGTGGTGGTGGGGTGGGGAAAGATGCCATTTGTTGTCTTGGGTAGTGATGGTGGAGACGTGAGGGTAATAATGGTTGTTTTTAAAGTACAGACATGAAATAGAGAGACCAGTGAGGCTGCTTGATCCAGGGGCAGTAGCCATGGAAAGGCTGGGAGCCGAGAGAATTAGGAGGAAGTACTCTGGAAGGACAAGGGTTCCCACATGTTGGAGAATGGCCTCTGGCTAGGATAAAAGGAAACTGAAGTCTCTCCCCAAAAGGAGGGGGAGACCCTAGGAACCTTTGGAGGAGAGAGTGTTGTTTGCACAATGTAGGAACACAGGGTGTGACCCCAGAGCCCCACTGAGTTGGGGAGGGCAGGACACCAAGGCACCAGGGGGCACAGTAGGGGCCAAGGCAGGGCCAGGGCTGGGGCTGTCTCAGCAGCCACAAGAAGCTTCACACCTCCTCCTGGTTGGCAACCACAGCTTGCAGGACCCCAGCAAGGAAGGAAGTGGCTGTTTTGTTGCTCTCTCCAGTCTGGGGCTCTGCTCATCACCACCCAGGGAAGCCAGAGCAGTTGGGGCGATTGCAAAAGCTCCCTCATCCAGCCCTTCCTTCTGGCCCTGTGCCCTGTGCCTGTGGGACTGGCCAACTTAAGGAGCTGCTGCTGTTGTTGGCAATGGTGAGGAAAGCCACCAGCAACCACACATAGCCAGCTACCACTGAAGCAGCAGTCAACAGTACCCCTTTCAAAAACCATTTCCTCTTCACATACTTTGCCTCATTGAATCTGCACAACTGCCCTGGAAGGTCTATGGCTCTCCAAGGTCCCATTTTCCAAGTGAGGAAACCGAGGCCGGGGGCTTAGGCAAGCTGTCGTATAGCCCAGAGTGCAGTGGGTTTCAACTCAGTGACTCCCACGGTCACATTTTTAACAACCACCTTCACCTACAACCTCCTCCTATAAACCAGGGGCGTGTGCAGACCCCAATGCCCCAGGCTGCCCATCTCTACCTCATTTGGACCTGGACTCTGTTCCAATGAAACTAGGATCCCGGTGTCCCACACATACCCAAGGCCTTCCTGGCTCCTGTGCCACCACCTATTCTGCCTGGGAAGTTGATGTTGCAAGAACTGCCTCCTATAGGAAGCCCTTACTGATCGCCCCATCTCTCCTTATTACCAACCGATGTGCACCCACAGTCTCCCTTAGGCAACTCACTTCACCTGCTCAGGATACACTGAGTTCCCCAAGGCCTGGTGCCACCTACCTCTCTGCACAGCAGGGGCTCAGGAAGTGTGTTTACTATAGGACGCCTATGCCATCACCTTGGTCATAAACAGCTACCCTCCTCTGGTCATAAACAGCCCCACCCCATGCCCTCTGCCTTCAGTTGGGGAGACCTCTCTGAAGAGCTGAAGTAAGAAGGAAGCTACCTTCCCCTTCCCACCCCAGCCACCTCGAGCCCCTGACTGTCTTTCACAAGAACCCCAGCAGGTTGAGTCATATTTGGCTTGTGGTCAACTGTGACCACAATCTCTTCATTGCACCCCACATTCCAA